CTGTTGACAGACCCTGAAACATTTAATTGACTTTTCATTGACACAAGCTGTAATTGCCTTTTAATCACGGCTTTACATCATGTTTTGAAATTCAAATTAGCAGTGTCAGCTCAGAGAAAAGGCCCTCTTCAACAGTTTGCTGTCATTCACAGATGCAACAAGAGGAGAGTTTCAGTTTTGGAGCCTTGTGTAACATCGTCTTGTCCATTCTCGCTGACTGAAAGCAAACAGGAACAAGCTGTTTGATGCTCGTCTGCAATCTAAACACCAGCTATGGGTAGGGAAACATTCAGGCTGTCAACAGCTTTTTTGTGACAGCCCAGCCTTTATCTGATGTCTGCACTCGTTTTGCCTCTGAAACGAGGTCTGGTGGAGAAAAAATGAAATCACATCTTGAAATAATAAAGCTGCCTTCAGAAATCATACACTATAACTATGCATTGTGCAAAATTGGAATAACAACTTTAAGTCCTGCAAGTTTGCATGAGAGAGCACAGAGTTGTTGATTTACTTGAAGTGACCAAAAGTATCTGGCTGATCCAAAGAAAATGCACAATCTGAAAACTCCAGTTGTCTTTTTCGCTCTAAAAATTCCCCTAGAGCAAGATTTATTGAATAGTCTGTTGTTTTCCTTAAGTGTTCCAATTTTTCTAATGATTTTAGTGATTTAAACTGTAAGCAGCAAAAAAAAATATCTATACAAGAATGTATTTTTCTGTAGGCTTTTATTTGAGATGTTCCGTATTTGGCAGGTAGCCACATTAGCCATGAAGATGTGGATTGTGAAGGCCGTCGATAAGTCGGGGTCAAACTTCCACCTCCGCTCAACTCTCTGAAAACAGTTCCCACGCTCCCTGCTTCCAGTGGAGGGGAAGATGAGAGGAGGCATCCACTCAGATAAAATCAGTATTTCTGTGAAAAATCTTTCTTTTTCTTTTCCTTTTCATTGTCTATTTTAATTCTTTGTCCATCACAAATGATCCCCAGACAGTCAGTGCCTTGAGATCATTCCTATGTTTGCATCTGCAGTATAGCTCCTACTATCGCTATTGTTCCAGTCAACACCAAAGGCAGGAAGTGAGTGAGTGCGTTGGGACTGCACTGACATATCGTACGGTAAAACAAGAATAATGCATTTTTCAGAAGATGAAAAATCAACCAACCACATTTTAAAAAATTGAACTGTGAAAAAGTTCTTGAGCTTAACCATCCCTGATTACTGATGGCAGCTCAGTCATCGGAGTCAAACGCCAGCTCAAACCCATAAGATTTAACACAAATACAATTCAAAATGCTCCAGAATCTGTTCAAATATGTCCAGTTACTCATCTGCCAGTGATAACCAATGATCAGCTCTTATGTCATTGATCCAAATATGCATGAAAAGTTTTTTTGTTTTGTTTTGTTTTTCAGTGCACTTTTTCTTTGTATTTTGTGACATCCTGCTATGAAAATCCATACTTCATTACCCAGCTCTGTTTTTATTGGCATTGGGAAAAAGAGAAAATAAGGAAAAAAAGAAAAGGGAGAAAAAAAAACACCACCAAATTGTATCTTTAAAAATGTTCATAAACTCAGAGACGATAGATGCACTAATATTTGTGCTGCATGGTTGCTACCCTAGAGGCTCTAAACTCGGAGACTTGGTTGCTTTTCTGCAAACTTCACTGAAAACCTCTAAACATAAGTTTTTCTTTCCTTTGTTTCACCTTCTGCTTTTTGTCCCTTTTCATCTGACTCTGCCTCTGTTGTTCTGTTGTCTTGTTTTTCTGATTCTCCTTCCTCCGGTAGCTCAGTGATTGTTAGTGACGTTTAGCGTCTCTTCTTGGGAGAGAGCCCGCTCTCTTTAAAGCATCCCTGATGCTCCCCAGAAAACAGTGACAGCAAGAAAATGTAAGCTGGCAGCTCACATGTAAACCATTCAGCTCTGTAGACCTTGAACAGGATTCTTTCTTCTTTCACATCGGGCTTATTATCCATTCTTTTGTCTTTTTGCTGGTGCAGAGTTTCTCTTGTTTTACTGCTGGAAGAAGAAGTAGAGAAAACATGGGGTTTGTGTCTGATTTCTCCCTCCTGCTCCTTTTCTTGCAAATTTCATTTAAATGTCTTTGAGTCAGACTCAATTTGATTTTTCACCTGTAAGACAGCCCCCTCCCAAAAATTGAAAGCTTATTAAAAAAGTTTTAGCTTACATTGTAATTAAACTGTCATGATTAAAACCCAGAATCCCTGCTAAAATCCACGGCTCTATTCTCACCTTCTCACTCCAGCAGAAGGGATTCATTTTCCAATTCACTAGCCTCTGTTTGATTAATTTTGGATGAATTTTAAGGAAGCCAAATATTATTTCAGTAATTTCTGTTTTTCATTGATTAAATATAAGTGAATATTCATGGATAGCCTTAGGATGTCTATAAATCTTCAAAAAGACAAAGGTTCAAACAAACAGTAAGACATTGTTGTTCTTTAAAATAAAAATGTAATCAGTGCTTAAAACATGTACTCTGAGTACAAAGTCATGATCTAATTCTTCATTATTAAATCTTATTTAAGTGAATATTAATCTTTCTGACAGAAAAAAAAGCAAGTTTATCAGAAAACCAACCATTAAAAGGCTAATTATTCCTAGTTTAGCTGGATTTCCTGCTCTTCCCAACCTAAATCTGCAAGAACAATTGCATTTTACCAAACACACACAAAAAAATGTGAGCCAAAAAATTAATACATGAAAGTGGAGTTTCAGTTGGAAATCAATCTTGTTTCTGCACAAATGCACAGATTGCAATCTATTTCAGCTCAGAGGAGCAACAAAAAAAAGAAAAGAAAAAAACCCAAACACTCAACTTGAAATTGAGCCATTCATCACAGAGTAAACCACATAACTGAGAGGCTGCACGAGGGAGCAAGGCAAAGTTCGAAGAAATAGCTTGGGGGTAAGGAAGAGAGAAGATGTTGCTGCAGGAAGAACAAACAGAAGCTGGCCCCTTTCTCCACTCTCCTCACGAGGATGTGACATTTCTGAAGGTGGTGTGTTGTCGCATCAGGGCTAATTAACGTTCTACGATATCCCAGCTGGAGGTGGACGCCCTGATAGAGCCTTTCGCTGTGTTTGTCCATCAGGTTGTTGACTTTGTGTAAAAGCATCGGCTCTCAAGTCCGCCGTCCCGGATCGGGATGTGCTTTGTGCGACGACAACAATGTTCAAGTGTGTTCTGCCCGTTTACCTCTGCCGGCGGTGTCAGGCCATGGTAGCCATGGCGACAGTGTTGGGCTGAATCATTGAAGGTGTCTCAGCCTCAGGGGAACACAGATCTGAAAGGAGTGTGGCGTGCTCGATGCACTTTGTTTGCTGGGTCAGTTCTGATCCTTTGACAAATGTCAGTGGGACGTGTCAGCAGTTTGCCATTGTTTTGCTGCATGCAGCACACAATCTGTTATGACATTTCTATGTTGGAGTGTGAAAAGTTTATTTTCTGTACATTAAGTAACTATCATTATGTTTGTAGTTACAATAAGTTTGACAGACTTTTGACTGAAGTTTCAGTTTTTGTCATAATTTGTTCTCCTTGAGTTATTTAAGTTATAGTCTAGTTTTAGTTTGTTTAAGTCAGAGAAAAATGTGTTCTTTGCAGTTTTGTCATGAAATGAAAAAAAAAAAATATCACATTTGATTTTTTTTTTTTTAATTATTTCAATGCAGATGTTAAGAAAAAACAAATCTAGCTGAAGGCCATGGGCAACAAGATCCAATCTCATGCATCTCATCCCACCTTTCCAATCAGCTAACATTAAGTCTAACTGGATTTAAGCTATTTTTTTTGGCACATTTGTATTCATTAATGAAAATGTCAGTCATTTTTGTCATAGTTCCAGTTTGTCTGTGTGAGTTCCATGTACATTTTATTCATTTTTAAACGAGACGAAAAGCTTGTTGACAAAAAGTGTCAAAGCTTTTTTATCAATAAAGTTAACAGACATGTCCTAGACGGTTTTAATGAGACTCTTATAAACATGGGGGAACCAAAATAATAGCTGGATATTGAAGAGTGATGAGAGTTTGTAATTCCATTCAGTGCAACAAATCATTTGATCAAAGTATGACTGTCATGTTCAGGAAGAACAAAAACGGCTTAATTTGCAGGCCAGGTTTCGCAGTGAGAAATTCTTTCTTGATTTGTTTTCTAAGGCAGATTCTGTGTAAACTTCATCGGTGTAGATGCACAAATGATTGATGAGACAAAAAGAGCAAAATAAACATGAGTAGCTTATTGTCATGTCTTTATGAAATGGTATGAACTAAAATCCAGATGAATGGAGCAGCATTATCCCTGAAAGTCAGGAGAAAACAGTTGCATAGGCACTTGTATTACTGTTTTATATAAAAAGTCTTAAGTTATTTAAAAGAAGAAACTGTACAGAATGCATGCACTTCACTGTGAATCTGCATCATTGGATACATTTATTTGTTTATTTATTTTTTTGTCAAGTCCCTTGAGTCAAGCTTGGCACCATAAGAATAAAGTGAATTGAACTGAATTGCATTGAGTTTAGAATTGGGGTATAAAGACTCCCTGAATTATCAACGATTTTATTTGGGATTTCCTTTGACTCGTCAGGCGAAGAACTAATGAGCTTGAGAGATTTAGTTTTGATGGTTAGAGCTCCTCCTTGTTGTCTGCTCAAATAAAACTCAGAACATGAACTCTTAAGTGTTTGTTTTTACTTTTTTTACTGTGAGAAGAGTTTTCACCCACCTGTGGCAAATTCCACAGACATGTCATCCTCTTTGATATCCGTGATTGTGCACTCTACCTCAACTAAACAGTCTCTGAATCTGTGGCTGTGTCTCTGTGGACCGATTCCACCGATCAATTCCTCAGCCCATCTGTCTGGCAGGCTTATTCACAGCGCTGCATCTTAGGCGAGACGAACCTTCGCTGCAGGAGTCTTCATTAAACCTGTCCTCTCTCTGCCCCTCCTCCTTTTCTGTTTCTCTGCAGGCCTGGGGGAAGTTAATGAGAAGATTCGATCAGCTAACACCCCCCACCTCGATCCTCCACATCCCTTTGTTCCAACTATTATCTTCCTCCTATGTCAGCGTTGACTTGTGCACTTAACTGGCGAGTGGTGAGTCAGTAGTGGCTTAAACGTCACATGAAAATGAGATTTATTTTATATCTCATCTGTTTGCTTTGTAAATTACTTCTTTGGGGATTATTTAACAGATTAGAAAAAGTTCTTTGTTTTGTAAGCATTTTGTTTTAACTTGTGTGTAATGTTTGTGTTCACATAATTTTTCTTAGAAACTTAGAAACATTACAAAGGTAATTTAATATATTGATTTGGAATAAAAGGAAACTTGAAATTTGAAGAAGTAGACAGTTGGCATTTCAAAGTTGAACTAAAAAATGAAAATTATGCAGGCTCTTTAAATATGCTGCAAAGTTAATTAACTCTTTATTTTACACTGGAGTGTGCATTTTTTTTTCTTTTCTAATGATTAAGACCATAAAAACCCTAAAAAATGAATAAATGCAATAAGTGAAAAAGCATGCAGTTGGTTTTCACTCTGCAGTTTACAATGGTAGACCATGTTTTTTTTTGTTTGTTTTTTTTTTTGCATTTTATTAAACATAGGTCATTAAATATTAACTTAAACCAGCAGCTTCATATTAGTTTCTCTAAAAATATTGTGCAGCTCATTTTAGATTAAAGAAGCATCAAACACATCGAGCAGAAGAGATGACCAGCTTGCTGGAAGCTGAAAAGGAATACAAAATTTATTTTCAGTAAAACAACAAAGGCAGAATTTTAATACTAGATAACACACACCAGTATGGCAGCCATGGCTACTAGTCAGACCAAAGGTTTAAGATCAGCTCATGAGTTTTTGAGAGCAGAAATTAAATTATCTCACACAAAACATATATATTTTTTGTGACTTTATCAAACTCTGTTTTGTGGACAACCAGTTGGGCTGAACTTTAGCCATTGGACGTTGTGCATTTAGATTCATCTAGGATAGAAGATGCTTTCTCCTTCTTGTTATAATGGTCAATATTTACTGTGACCTACGGATGTTGTGATCTTGGATTTCAGAATATGGTTATGTAAAAACTATCTAAAGAAGAACAGAAGCAATAAAGGTGCACAAAGCGTTCACCTAAGACTTTTCCTTTTAAAATCAGAGAAAGCATCTTGGTTGTGTTAAGTTTTTCAGGCATTGTTTTTTAATTTGAGCTTAATATTCTCTTTAATAAGTAACACTGAAATCTGTTGTTGTGTTTTTACACTGGAGATAAGATTTAAATAACTTTAGAAACCAGTAAGCACCAGACAGCGGCTGTGTCCTCACACGTTAAATCATAAATATGACTAAAGGATTATAATGTGGATGAGTAAATTTAGACGCAGACATATACATAACATGGGCCAATATCTGAAGCCCTGTCGTTTGGACCTCTCTACCTGCTGCTGTGACATGTGGGAGGTGCAGCCTGATGGTGTGGCTCAGTTGTTATGCCAGAGAAAAGGATTTGCTGTTATGAATGGCAGCGGTAGCATTGTGCAGGTCTCAGCCTGCTGCTGAATCACAGCTTTAAACTAATTTTGAGGGTACGGCAAAGCCGTTGTGCTTTGTGCTCTAGCTCAGGACCTGGCTCATCCAACCGCTCGGCTCAACCTTGCATGCCAATTACCCACAACTTGTTTTTTTTTTTTTGTCGAGAGGAAAAGACGGTAAGGGAAAATATAGGCTTATTGGCTAAATTGTTGGGGTCTAAACTTTTCTTTGGTGTCTCTGTGAATTCGTGACTATTACTCTAGAATAGTAATTTGCATGTCGCATAGGAATTGTTAAAATAAATGCTTTTCATGTGAATTACTGCACTGAAATGGCATGGCAACTTAGTAACCAAAGTTAATTTTGATATAAAAGGACAATGTTGCACCACTAAGTAACAACAGTATATTTGTTACTTATACTATTTACATCCTAGTTAGGCCTTGGCCTAACTAGGATGTTCTGATATTGTGCTGAGTTTAAGGAGTTGCTAAATACAAGGAATGCAACAGTGGTATCCAATGTCCTGGCTATGTCTGCGTGTGGTGGCTCTACAACAGAAGGTGGCCAACTCGTGGCTTGACTTTGCATTAACCACTACAAATCCCTGAATGCATTGCTGGTGGGTCGGACCCACAGCCCCTCCTTTCTTGAAATTCAACTGGCTTGAACCGATTTCCACGAAAGTAGATGAATGTAGAAAACTGTGCTTTAATGAATGTCGTCTTTGTGAACTTTTCTTTGTCAGTACAAGGCATGAGCATGAACGTTTATGGATTATATTTAAGGACATAACATTTATTAGCATGTGAAAAAAGTTACCATTGAAATTTGAACTCAGAGGGTTTAAAACAAACATAATTATGGTTATTGTGTTCAACTTTGCTTGTTCTCATAAGATGCTTCATGGTAATATTTGAACATTTATTCATTGGAGGTCAGTCCATGAGTTTGTCAAAGTGGGTTTGACAACGTAGAAACTCCAGCTGTAATTATTGTCTTTTAAATCTCTTCTAAACTCTTGAATCTTTGCTCCACGGATCTCTCAAGCTGTGGTTATCCCTGTTTCTTATGAATCTTTTGCTACCACAGTTTCCCCGTTTCACTTAACTTTCCATTAATGTGCTTGGATACAGAGCTCTGTGACCAGCCAGCTCTTTAGCAATAAGCTTTTGTGGCTTCTGGAGGGTGTCGTTGACTGCTGGACAACTGCCAGCTCACCAGTCTTGCCCACATTTTTGTATGTCATAACATACAATTTCTGACAAAAAAACTGTGGTTTTATTGGTTTTCTGAAATCAAATTTTATAATAAAAAGAATTAATTTTTTTCTGTTTCTGTGTAGTAAATCTAATACATGAGTTTGAATTTTTGAATTACATTAATGACGAAATAGTTTTTTGATGATAAGATTTATTGACAGATTTCCGTTTTCTCCTACCATTTCATATTTTTGTGATTGAAAGTTTGGTTTTGGGTTACATAAATGTCCTGAATTCAGGGTTTTTTTCTCCTCTGGACCTTTCACACAATCCCTGTTCTTTCAGGATGTCAGCTTGCACTTTCCCCCTACATTGCACCTCACATGGAGCAGATCCAGCAAAAATGATTTAAAGAGTTGGACCTAGATCCACATCAGTAGATGTAGAGAACAGAAAACAAGCAGAATGTAATCCAGTTCTCACTTTGCAAATCTGATTCCTTCGTTTGTTTTCTGCTGGAATGGAGCTTCTGCGTAGCGTGGCCAGCACCACTAGTGAACATGAATGGATTTTAGTCAGGCTCCTTTTCAGTTATGGTGAGAAAATATAAACGGCTTAAAGGTATGTTTATGTTATGGGCCAAATACAATCATGACTCTGCTTCTTGTGACTACTTTGGATGGTGGTTAGTTAAAATGTCATCAGGAAATCCTGACCTGAGGCCTTTTCAGACTGCAGTAGGAAAACAACAGCTGCTTCTTACTCCAGACATTTGTCTGCTCTGCATCCAGCAACGACACTCACATGATGAGACTTCTGCAGCAGCAGAGACACAGAGTTCAGGTTGCTCTTACCCTCATTGGCTGCTATTTCACTTCCATTATGTCAAACTATAAAGATAAGATAGAAATGGGCATTATCTTGGAGTGGTGATCCTTCTGGTTGGAACATTATTTTATATCATAGACATAAGGACTTTCAGAGAAATCACTTCTGAAAGTGTAATTAACCCCCAAATCAACTTTTTTTTCTGATAAGCTATCTAAATAGTTTATTTAGGGTTCTATGTTTACGTTTCTTTGTAGGTTTTGACATTTCCTTGTAAATTTGCTGGCCTCTTTAGGTTGAACGATGACTACCTATTCAAAACGGTACAGCTTTTTGTCACTCACTAGCGAGTTTGACAAGCATTTGCAATTTGGATAGAGTGGAATGGGTCTCCTGGTCTAACTGCTGGCAGCAGTATGCTGTGGGATAGACAGTTTAGGAAGCTCATTGCAGGACTCATTTCTTGAGCATGCACAAATCGCAGCTGAAGAACAGCCAGTCAGTCGTATGTTGTTGGAAAAGTTAGTTGATTTATCACTAGTTTCTTTTTTAAATAAGTCACCAGAGGAGTCTGAAAAGTCGCTAAGATAATGACAAGGAGGATAAGTTGGCAACAGTGTTTCTGTCATCTTGACCACAGCCCCATGTACTCTTGCTGGTCGTTTCCAGGGCACTTAGCCATGCCCTGGATTGTCTCTTAGCTCCACCCACTTTGGTGGAATTTTTCTAAATTTGCTAGAATATGCTTTCAAAAGGGGTTAGTTACACTTTAAATTACTTAATAGTTCAAACAACATAAGACTGATCCTAAAACCAGAAGTTTTAATGCATCATTTCACATTTTATGTGTAAAGATAATGGAGTTTCCCTAGTCAACAAAGCTGTCTCAGAGATGCTAACTCTTCTAGGAACCGTTTTTCACAGTGGTTTCCTATGTTTTGAGCATTTTATCTTCAGAACTGGTTAAACTGTGCAGTCTTCTAGGACATAATGCTGGCAGTCTGTCTCCATGCATGTGGGGTTGGTATGTTAATAGTGAACTGCATTCCGATCTGCAGAACCCTGTCTGCACTACCCTGAAGGGATTCACGGTTTCACTGTGCAACCTGCCATTTGTTTGTCTGTGTAATGCATTAAGATGGATGCAACCATCCCACTGTCAGATGATGAATTGTGGGCTGCAGAGAAGACTCTCTGCTATGTAAAAGAGGCACTTGCAGAGCTGGCACTTTCATCAATCAGATGGGAGACCTCTGTAATGTTGTTACACTGCAGAAAAAAGAAAAAGGCTCTGTTTATATGCAGCAGACTGTTGTGGACGGAGGGCCTTTTCATTCTGTTCAGATAATGTTTTTCCCCCTCAGTGTAAAACGAAGCGTGACTCTGGTGCATTAATGAAACATTTATGGACTTCAGATCCTTGTTTTGGGCTTCAATCAAATTGATCCCACTGTGTAATCAGCTTTTTTCTTACAAGTGTGGCGCTGTGTCTTCCCTACTACTTTACCATTTTGTTCAGACAACA